TAGGGTAGTTGTGAGGATTAAATAAGAATGTATGTGGTAGAACACAGAGCAGATGTTTGATATACCTGCTCAATGTGAACACTATGCTTGATGAAAATATTTCTCATACTCCTTTCTAACATGCTTTTAGAACCTCAGCACCTATTTTGACAAATCTAAGATAGACGATCAAATGGATTTCTGAAAATACACAAATAAGACTGATTCTCTTTGGGTAGCTGTGTGTGAAGCTCAAAGAAATTCTGGGAGGAATTTAAAAAGATGTTTTGAGCAGCAATGCCATCACTGGAAAACATGGCAGCCGCCCCAAAGTGTTCTGGAACAGATTTCTCAGTTTGATGGGCAGGCTCTAATAGATTACAATACAACTCTCCTTGGCAGCCCTATTGCTCTGGTTCCTTATTATATCCAGACAGCTAGCCACATTACATGTCCATCTTAAGACTTTCACTCTTTAGCTAAAAAAAAATACTATTATTTAGCTTTCCTCTACAGAATTTAACTACTATCCATGTTTAAGCCCAAAAAGTACCATATACACCTCCCACTCATATGCTTCACGGGATGTTACAACAATACGGAGCTTTACAACAGCAGTAGCGATCATTTACATAGCTTCCGATGTGCCAGGCAAAGTTCTGAACAGCTCACAACTCTAAAAGGTAGGCACCCAAAACTGAAGTCAATGAGATGATGTAACTTGACTCTAACTGAGAGAGCTGGAATTTGAACCCAGGCAGCCACAGAGGAGTCCATTATATACCTTAGTTCTTTCCGGGTTTGCTAACTAAATTTAAGAATCATTTAATAACATTGTATTAAGGGTTTGGAGGTAACAATCAATTTGGGACACTTCAAGTATCTCTCAATTTAAAAAGAACACATCAAGACTCCACAGATGAGCTGCCTTCTCAAGGTCACACTTTAGTGGCCAGGGTAGACTATACTCCCAATCCAAAGGCTAGCAAACCATACCATCTTTGTTCAACCTCAGAGAATTGCCAATGATACTGGGTTATCACCAGGAACACTTCTAAACACAATCCCATGGAAGAATGACAAAAGAAAACTGGCCCACATTTTCTCATTCTTTCTTTCAACACTTGTGATAAGGCTTCCACATGAAAACTCCAAGCTAGAAACTGGGGATAAAACGCAAATAAGATTCAGAACTCACAGTCCGCAGAGAGACAGACATATCACCCAAGGTGACAGATCGTCACAGGTACTATAACAAAAATCTACGTAAGGGTTAATCTTCAAGTTTTCTAGAGGATACTGTTTTTTCTTTTCTAATGCTCCATGGTGCCTCTTAAGGGACATCCACACTTGAACAGAAAGACAGAAGCCTAATCTACAATCCCAGTTTTGTGTAGTTGTATAACCCAAGAACAAGTACAGTTGACCTTTGAATGCGGGCTTTGGGGCGCTGATTCTGGCGCAAAAATCCACATACAACTTTTGACTCCTCAAAAACATAACTACTAATAGCCTACCGTTGACCAGAACCATTAGCAGTAATATAGTTGATTAATCAACACATATTTTGTATATGTATTATATATGATATCCTTACAATAAAGCTAGAAAAAAAGATTAAGAAAATCATAAGAGGAAATACATTTACAGAACTGTATTTATTGAAAAAAATCAATGTATAAGTGGACCCATGCAGTTCAAACCCGTTGTTCAGAGGTCAACTGTACTTCACTCTCATCTTTTAACATGAAGATGAATCTTCAACCCTTTAAAACTTGAAAATCCAGCCAAACTAGCATATCAATCTTAAAATGTTTTTGAAGACCACGATTTTGTTAATCAAGGGTATGTAAAGAGGTGTCATTATCAAGATTAAATAGGGTACTGTGGATAACTGAAACATATAAAAAATTTCAAATTATATGTATACACCACAAACACACAAATTGATTTATAACAGCTCAGAAGACTCATTGGGGTTATTTTATAGTATTCTGGAGTTGAGTGGCATTTATATCCTACTGTATAGTACAAGTACGGATAATAAGTACTGAGTTTATTGGAACTTTTCAGTTGCTGAATTCTGGAAAACCAAGTATTTGTAAGCTGCCCAAATGCTTGGTTTTATAAAATTTCCATCTTAAACATGGTGCAGGGGAAAGAATGTGGGAGTTTTAGAAAAAGCTCTGAATCTAAATTCAATATGTAACACCTTACGCAAGCTACTTAAATTCAGGAGGTTTTGTTTTTTCCACCTATAAAGTGAGAATCACCTTCCTTCAGTTGCTATGAAGGTTTATTAGAAGATGAATGGAAAGGCCCAAGAGAACACAATCCATGGCTGATGTTTAATAAATGAGTTCCTTTTCTACTGCCTTTTAAAAAAGCAGCTAAATGGTACCAGAACCTCAAGAAATAATTCCAAAGTCTGAAAAAGGGAAAACTCCAGAACTTCAGATTACATATAGAATTAATTACTATGAAAGTCTAGGCTTTTGTGTAAACAAATAAAATCATACAAATATTAACTGGTACAGTTCTGTAAGAGGCCTAAAGAAACTGTTGAGAAGTTTGCAGGTCAGTTCTGTTCTTGCCTCATTACTATCCTAATACTCCACTTTATGCTAGTAGTGAGGGCCTGACAGGTCAGGCTGCTCTTCACTAAGCTGGAGATATTAGTTCAAAGTAGGATTTTATTTAGTAAAACTAGAACAAATGTATTGATTTTACAGCTATAAATGATGCTGTCCAAAAATGTGGCAAATTATTTCAAGTGTACCTGGAAATACAGATTTAAATTTTTAAATTTAAGCTAACATCTAATTTTGGAACTAAAATAAAGAAAAACCAAGGATTGTAACCTATCAAAATCCTGGTGAGAGACAATGTGTATTGCCAAGTTCAAGGTAAAAAAAAAAAAAAAAAAAAATTACATCATTATTTAAATGCACTAACCAAGTTTCTTTTTTCTTCCAACCAAGTTGTATGGATATCATTGTACCAAAAAAGATGAATGCTGTATGAGAGACTGACATATTACATTTACCTACTACTGTACCTCCAAAATAATGTTCAGTCATTAAACAAAGATTTCAAGGTCACATCACCACCATTAACTACTCCTCAATAGAGGCAAAGACAATTATAGGCTAATGCACTGCAGATACACCTTTCAGGCAGTGGCTTTTTAATGTTGGGTTTTTTTGTCGTTTGTTTTTTTAAGATCTAAATTTGCTTTTTCCTCCTATCAAAGTTACTATTTTCTGAAACTAATTTAAAATTAAAAACTACTAAAATCAAGTCTATGTTCCTTTTCTTCTGACTTCTATCTTCCTCAGGATCTTGCAGGTCCCATTCCCACCCCACCACCCTGCTCAGACAACACTTCAGAGGGCAGGGGTAGTCTGAAAAGTCACTCACTACATAAGACCGTGAAATGAATGATGAAGCTATACAACGAAAGCAAGATCCATGCTTTATGAACACATTATTCTCACATGTCTGCGTGACAGGTTTGATACACAAGATTCTTGGTTCATTTTACAGATTCTGAAACCAATTAGCTCAAAAGGTGAATTCTGAAACCATGGTTGGTGTAGCAAATGAATATATCAAAACAAACTTTAAAAACTTCATCCAAATATTTACATTTAAAAAAGACATTTAAAAAATAGGCTACTCATTAAGTGTGCTTGAACAAACCATGTGTGGAATTGAATTCCATTCATTACGGAGTTAGTTTTCTGCTAAACACATACTGATACTATAGAAGACCCTGGCAGTTGAGGATTTAAGTTTTCAACTGTTCCCAATCGATGCTAAAAAATAAAACATGACAAATGTTTTCTGAGGCACTAATTTGAACCTCAGCAGTGGAAAGGCTAGCATGTAAGGCAAATTCCTTAGGAGTCAGACGGGCTGGCACCTGTAACTCAGTGTGGCTTTGCCAGTGCCTAAGTACCACCGAGTAGTCAATGAAACTGTCTAGAAACCATTTAAATTTTGTAATTACACCTCACTGCGTTATGTTCTAATAGTTTCACAAACTTAGGAATTCACAAAACAATGTTTTGAGATATATTCCTTGAGAAGGAATATAGGAGGGTCTCCTATATTACATTAAACAAAAAACATGCAGTTTTTACAGCTCATAGAGCTTTTTCAAAATAAGCTACTGATCATACAGCCCAATTAAAAACTCAAACACTTTATATTACAGGTATAGAATGTTTATAGTTCAGCAATGCCAATATAGATAATTTGACACCTTAGCCCCTACTTGCAAAGTGATTAACAACTATACAATAACTTCTATTCTATTGTCATAGGCTTTGGCTCAGATGTTTAAATACTTAAAGAACTTGGTAAGATTTTTTGTTTGTGTGTCTTGTTTTGCTGTGGTTTCATGTGGGCATGGGTGGGGATTATAAAGACGAGGCGGGGAGGGGTCAGTTCATTGTATTAAGCAGATCAGGAATTAAATAGCCACTAGAATTTCATTTACCATTTCTTTACAAAATATATGTGGGAGAATATGGCTTAAAAACAGAGGGGAAAGGCCTCTTATCTGTTCATACTATTTTACTTTACCCTTTATCTAGTCTGACAATAATGCCAAACTTAATTTACTACCTAGGACAAGAGTGACTCTAACAGGATTTTATAAAGTCCAATTTAATTTTGGTTCTGAGATCTTAAGTGCTTAAAATTTTGGAATTCTTCAGATTAACTAAAAAAAGTTTTTCTGAACAAAATACCCAAAAGATTAGATAAAAACCAACTGGTTAACTACTTAAAAAAATAGCCAGCTTTTTTTCTTTTACAGATTAGTATTACTTGTAATGTATCTCTGCCCCTATAAACTGACTTTTTGCTTAGTCTATAGACAAAGACAATTTTTCTCAAGCAAGATACTCCTATTAAGGAAAAAATATGATCTTAAAAAAAAAAAAAAGAACTAAGTGGGTCAGAAATAAAACAACAATGAGTAACAACTCAGGTCCCACAAATGTACGTTTCTTAAAAAAAAAAAAAAAGGTAAAAAAAAAAGAGGGTGAGGTGGTTTTATATATCAAAATCAGCAGAATTCTCATGCTTCACAATTTTGTTGCTAGAAATCCCCAAATTCCTTGGACTCATTTGGGAAGTTTTCTGAAGGTGCGCATTATAGTAAACAGCAGCAAAATACCAAAACAGTTCTATTGCTAAAAAGCAGCTACTCCTGTTTGTGCCTTTAGAATACTAGTTGTAAAACAGCAACAGTAACAAAATACTAATTTGCGCCATCAACTGGATTTGAGCAATTCTAAGAAAGAAACAAACTGTTTTCTTTAAAACAGTCTAAGGCAGGACATTGACCATCATATTGGACAAATATTGAGTTTTGGGGGAAATATCAAAAAATGTCAAAAAGAGATAACAGCATTATATTTAGTATTCTAAAGGCAGGCTTCAGGTAGTTCAACAATGATTCTGGTAACACCAACTGCTCACAGACATACACACGCACACACATAGATTTTAATGGCTTAAAAAAACCCAAATTTGTTACTTTAGAAAAATGAATGCAGTGCATTTTCAGTAATATTATCGCCACAGACTCTGATGGCTCAGTCCACACATAAGCAGTAGTTGCCTTCTATGGTGATATGGCTTCTCTGCACTAACTCCCATCAGGCCGAAAAACATTAGGGCAGGTTAAGTAAGGACTGAATTGTTGCACAAAGGGACATTTACTCATCAGATCCCACTGATCTCTTCTGTGCCCGTTTCCTGGGCAACCTTCTTGGTGAAGCTTTATCTGGAAGAAAAGAGAAAGTTTTAACTTGCTTATTGTAAATATAATGGATTCAAAAGACTTTTAAAAGGCATTTTTCTTCAACTTTACTAAGTTTATTTATTTTTATTTATTTGAGAGAGAGAGAATGAGATAGAGCATGAGAGGGTCAGAGGGAGAAGCAGACTCCCTGCTGAGCAGGGAGCCCAATGCAGGACTCGATCCCGGGACTTCAGGATCATGCAGGATCATGACCTAAGCCAAAGGCAGTTGCTTAACCAACTGAGCCACCCAGGCGCCCCTACCACTAAGTTTAAAAAAAAAAAAAAAAGAACATACGTGCAAAAAATACCCTAGTAATAAATGCCTCTTATCTAGTATAAGTTGTTAAACTAACCTTTAAAATAATCCTTCAAGAAGTAACTCAATTCAAATAAAACTTTGTGTGATCAGGGTGGGAAAAGGTTTAATCTCGGTTACTCGAATCCTGAAGCCACCAAGCAAAATCTTAAATTCTACAATTTAATATGTTTATACGTGCATAAGTAAATGCTTTAGAAATAGTGTCAAAGGTATGAAATTTGCAGCTTAAAAACACCTATACTGGCTACAAATTAATATTTATAAATGCAGCCATGCAGTTTGCATAATTTTTGGCAATTTCATAAATTTAGCTGGAACGAACAGCAGGTTAAAGGAAATTTTTAGACAGAACCAAACCATCCTGCATACACAAGCCTACTTTGTATACTTTTTTCTTTTTATCTCCTTACATTAGATTCCTAGTGGGTTCTATTACACAAAAGCTAAATTGGTGGTGAGTTTCTACTCCTATCCAGTACGAGTCACCTGTGTTTCTTTCAGTAAGGCTATCTTCTTCTCTGACCACTACCTTTTTTATTTCTAGGAGCACTTTACATGTTAGGAAGTTAAGCCCTTCATGGTAAGAGCTACAAATTAAAATTAGTTTTCCAGCTTTAAAAAAAAAAAAAAAACGGGGCTGGAAAAAATATTTAACACCAAAAGTATGGGGTTTATTTTGTAAGCATTTCATGAACAATGGTATAAAAAAATATTTACCTAGATGATCTTAATTTTTATTTTCTAAAATTGCCAGATCACCATAATTATATTTTAAAAATACACAGTAAATGTTTATCAAGAATATTTAGCAGCTAAATTCTTTTTAAAAAATATACCTTAGAGTTAGTGACTATGAAATATTAAGACTGAGTTTGCAAATCACATGAAAACTGACCTCAGTACTTTATTAAGATAGGTTAGTTAATGATGTGTTTGGGGGGGGTCAACTTACCCAAAATTGAGCACAGAAGCATTTCTGTGATGGAGAAAGCCTACAACTTTCATCAGATTTCAGAAAGGTTAGACTAAAACTATTGCCTTTATGCAACTGACCAATTACTAGATATTTTAAAATAAACAATACACTGAATATGATCTTTGAGGATTCAAAAAGTCCTTTTAAGTAGGCTCCACGTGGGGCTCAAACTGAGATCAAGACCTGAGCTGAGATCAAGAGTTGAACGTTTGACCAACCCAGGCACTCCTCAAAATGTACATTATTTTTTTAAGATTATTTATTTGAGAGAGCAAGAGCACACGCAGGGGGAGCGGCAGAGGGAGAGGGAAAAGCAGACTCCCCGCTTAGTAGGAAGCCTGACGTGGGGCTCAATCCCAGGACCCTGAGATCATAACCCAAGCGAAAGGCAGACACTTAACTGACTGGGCCACCCAGGTGCCCCAAAAATTACTTTAGAATTGAGCAGCCACTTTTTTTTTTTGCTGTCATCCCACTTCTGACTTTGTGGTGTGACCATGTTCATTATAATCTCAAAGGAGAAAAAAAACCTTGTAAAAAAAAAAAGCAAAAACAATCTTATTCTGAGCATTCCGGTAACTTTTTTTGTGTATGTACTCAGCTGTACTATACGTAGTTGGTTTGTATGAGATGGTTAAAAAGGCCAAAGATAAAAAAAGGTTTCTTTTTTTTCCTTTTTTGTCTATGAAGTTGCTGTTTATTTTTTTTGGCCTGTTTGATGTATGTGTGAAACAATGTTGTCCAACAATAAACCGGAATTTTATTTTGGTGAGTTGTTCTAACAACAACAACAACAACAAAAAAGAATCGAGTAGCCATCTGTGTGAATGGAGCAGTTACTCTGAAGACTGAAGTCAGTAATCAGCACTTCACAACAATGCCAACCACCTGGAGCAGACTTTTAAGTAGGAGGATACGTGACCAAGGACCGCAGAGGGCCGGCAATGCCGGTTTCAACACACACCAACTGGGCTCCAGGAAGGCAGCCAACTCTGCCTCCCTTAACAGGAAGTCTAAAAACCTCCATCACCTGCCCAGCACAGAAGCAGGTAAATGAGAAACAGAGTAAGGTAGCATTCTAGAGTCATTCGGCTTTTGGGAAAACGGCTCCAAATTCCTCAAGGGCCTCAAGCAGCATTTTACTTCCACAAACAACAGTAACAGATGTGTGTAACGATGCTTTCGAGCCCAAGGAAAAGCCCTCTTACCACTTGCCCCACCAAAAACCCTAAAAAACTATTTTTAAAAAAACCTAACATATTATTTAAGGCCAAAATATTTTAGCTTTTAAGAACAAAGCTTAAACTATATGAAACATGAAATCACTTAACTGAAAGAACAAAAAACACTGGAACATGATGTTAATGAGATTCAGTAAATGGGGCAGATCTGAAAATGCCCACCCTGCCCTTTTAAAAGAAAGATGTTACAGAAAGCCACCTAATTGTGGAAAAACTGCAACTTTTTTCATTTTTAGAAAAGACAAAGGCCATATGTTAGCAGAAACTTAAATCAGTCCCTCACCCCGCCCCTCAGACCGCACCATCTATCCCATTTCCTATCACACCCGGGGCAGTCATACTATGTAAGTAGCTGTCAGACAGATTTTTTTAATTAATGAGATAAAAATTGCAAGCTTTCTAATGGATTCCCGAGTTAAAAGAAAGTCAAATTACACGAAAGACTTCATCTTTGTAAGTTTCTGATTAAGGCTGCCTTATGTATACATTTAAAACACTAGTATTAAACAAAAGACCTATAACTTTCTATTAAAATCACCTAACCTGTCATTTACAGTTAAAAAGACTTGAGGGAAACGGAAGCACCCTAATCTGAAATGAAAAACATTATCAGGAAAAAAGGTATTAGTAACAGGCTGAAATCATTTCAAACCACCCCTCCTTCCTTTACACTCTGATGAGTGAGACAGAGACAAGAAAAATCTCGTGCCAAATTAAACAGTGGCCCCTGAAACCTATTTGTCCTCACACTACCCCTTCTCCAAAATTCCTGGAAGCCTGAAAGACTTCCACTACCATGCACACCTCCTGCTCCATTATCTTCAAAATTTCTCTTGGTTTTCTCCATTCTGTCCTCAAATATGCAAAGCACATGTCTTATCTTTGAAACATCTATTTTTTCCTAAATTATCTTCAATTTGGCTCAACACCTTTAAGAAAACCATGTTCAAAGGGTGGTTCTCAAAATATGGTCTGGACCAGCAGCCTCAAAAATCACCTGAGAACATGGATTAGCAAATCCCTGGGCCTCACCCAGACCTACTAGATTGGAAACCCTAGGGGGTGGGGCCTAGCAAGGGTATGAAGCTGGCTAGGTGGTTCTGGTGAGTGCCACAGTTTGAGAACTACTGCAGTAAGGAATCAAGTGTTAAGAGAAACAAAATAGAAGCATACAAAATTAAGTAAAAATATTATTAAAACTGAACTGAAAATATCAGTATGATTTCAGGATTTGAAAAAATATGTATTGTCTAGCTCAGTTCACAGAATGGACCTAGAAACAATATCATCCAGTATCAGTGACATTCCTAAAGTCTACATTTTCATTTCTAATATCCAGGAGTCCTTGGAGAAACAGCTTGCTCCATGCCTAGAGCAAGTACAAAATGTCTAGATTATCTTGTTGAGCCAGCAAGGAAGGGATCATTCAAAGATCCAAAGGGTAAGATTGGAGGCGGTTCAAAAAAGGCAATCAGTAAACCCTTCTCAGCCTTTTGGTTGAGATCAAGCATAAAAAGGCAACCAGTAGTCAAAACTGTACAATATGAACATCAAAAAAGAATACAGCTGACTAAAATACACAGATTCTACGAAAAACTGAGTTTATACATGATAATCAAAAAACAGAGGAGAAAATTAGAAAAACCTCATTTGTCACACTGGGGTGGCTTTTAAACTAACTCTTTGAAAATTGGAAAATAAAGGGAAAAATTAAGCACTTATCCTCCTTTTCCTATAGGAACTGTCTCCTATGAAGTAACCAAAACGTCCCAGTTGATGGAGAGCTCTACTTCACAAAAGAATGGCAGTTAGTAAAAATCAAAGAAATTTCAATTAAAAATCATCACTTACAACTTCTGAAACATTATTGATTCATGAAAGGATTATCAACTGGTGAATGGTTTACAGAACTGGGTATCTGTATGATGCCAAAGTAGTATCACAGAGATAACTTGTAGGTTGCAAGCAGAAACAACCACCCTTTCCTGGTTACATGGGAAGATCATGTGGCTACTACCCTAATCTAGGGCTCAATTTAGCATCATTAATGATGGGACAATCAGATACTGTTTCTTGATGCGATGCAGGGAGAAGTACTTTTGATATACGCTATCAGCCAAAAATGATTCAATCTAATCAAACCTATATATTTATCTTCCAAGTGAAAGAAATTTTAACTAAAAGGCACGAGGAGAAAACAATCAAGAGAAATCTGGAACATGGGACTTTCTCGAATCTCATTCCTCAGGGTGATAAATGGGTCAGCAGCACTGGCATCATCTGGGAGCCTGCTAGAAACACCAACATTTAGGCCCCAGCCTAGAGCACCGGAATCTGAACCTGCACCGTAACAAGATTTTCAAATGATCCGTACACATATTAAAATTGAGAAGCCACTTTCCAGAGGTCAAGTGGCCAATCTCTTGAGCTGCTATACATTAAAA